AAAACAGAAATGTTCCCAGTGGAGAAAAACAGGAGACAGCTAGTCTTGTTCCTAAAATTTCAGTTTAGTAAGTTTAAAATGAAAACACTCGCAAAATCTTAAAACTACAGGATCAGCAAAAGCACAGCTTAAAAGTGGCCTTATTAAAGGTCTTATTAAAGGCCTTAAAAGTTGTTGCTTTTTCTTTTGTTACAGCAAGTCCCACTCCTCTTTTTTTCATCCCTCCACATATCACTTCCACAAAGCATGAAACAACGACAACAAATCTAGTGAATATGAAAAGTGATATCGGAGGGCCCTTGGCCTCAGACATTTGAACCATGTTCTATATTGTGCCATATCTCTGTCAAGTTTGGTATCTACTTTGCTGTCTATGTGTGCCAGATATCTGAAATTAGGCTAATAGCTTTGATTTTTGTTTTTAATATTTCAGAGCATGAAGATTTAGTAATATTATGAATCACTATGACTTCCATCCTGTAAAAAAACATACAAATATCAGGAGTTAAAGCTGACTGAAGAGCACTGGATACTCATCTCTCCATTAGATCCTGAAGGATTTCTTTTTAAGTCTGCATTTTTGCATGCTCCTAGACCAAATATTTCAAACTTTAAGAGCACAACTTACATGCAGTCTTCACACTGACTAGTTGGAATAAACAACGATACAGCCAAAATGAACTCAGATTTAGTCTATTTATGCAACTGAAAAACAATTCAACTGTGAAACTGCCTGGACTACTTTAAAACTGCAAGAAACTGTGCTCAGCTGCATTACTTGTTCTCTATCACATGCAGAAGCAGAGCATTACCCACCAGAATGCCACTGATCACTTGTTCAGTACTCGTTTAAACAGTATCGTTTCCCCTATACATGAGGATCTGTGTGCAGTATTCCATAAGTGGCAGATGCACTGATGACGTGAAATCAGCATAGCAATAAGTAAGGCACAGCATCTTCCTACTTCTGTGTAAACTTTGTCCAGACGCAATTGCTGACAACAATTCCTCCAACTTCCACATCCAGGTCACCAAAAATACCCTCTCTTTCTGTCTCTCTTTCTGGGGTCTTCCTAAATTTCTCTTCACGTTAATTAATTCATTAAATTAATCCAACCCTTTCCTGAAAAACCCATGATTTTCTTTATCATCCGCTTTCTGCTTTAACTAGAAATTTTCTCATATTCTTCCTCTTGTTTTACCTGTAACTCTCCCCACAAACCAACACCTGTTACGTCAGCATAGCTCCGGTCCCTTCATGTCTCTTGCCACAATGAATTCTCATTTCTCACCTATAGCTTGTGCTTCTCTACTTCCTTGTCTTCCTATCTTCCTTGTCTTATTTTTCAAATTTATAGCTGTCCACTCAGTAATGCTCTCTCTGTGGTTGGGATAGATCCCTACACTTCTTCCTCCCATCACACTCAAGAACCAGTCCTCAACAGCACCATTCTGCCTTTTTCATCCAGCTGCTTCACCTTATGATTAAGTTTTTTATCATATAATCTGTGACCCTCAGGAGCACCTTATTAATATTAACATTTCCAATTTTTCAAGTAGCCCACCGTACATCAGAGGTCATAGTACAGAATGAATAAAGCCTTTGATGTAGTGATGTAGTTTGAATTTCAAACAGCACATAGCTCAGCATACACTAGGGTAACTGCCCCTATGGTGTAGTATTTCAATGACAACATAACAATTTTCCTAAACTCTTGTTTTTCAAAAAGCTTTATATTAAATCAGTCCTAGTTTATCTTCTTATCTTGCATATTGAAGGTAGCACCTTTGTTTTGTTTTCAACACAAAAAAACCCAAACCCGAAGACCCAGTTTCTTCAATGTAAAAGCAAGAATTCAACTGTTGAGCTGTGTCACAACAAAGTATGCCTGTTGTGAACTGTTTCGAAACATAAGAGCTATAGGTCTTCCTCATGGGACAGTCATAAATATCACCTACTTTTCCAGATAAAAATAACTGAAAGAGATTCCATTTCACTTTCCACCTTTTGCTGGAATCTTGGGGTTCCTTTTGATCTCAAATTATCCATGAAGGATCATCTTATATGTTCACTACCAAAGCATCTCTTATGATCCTAGAAATTTCTTGACTTAAACACGTGCAATCCAAAATAGAACTTGAAAGCTCCGTGCTTCTGTGTGATCCACAGTACTGACTAACACTACTCTGTTCCAGGCTATTACAGAAACTTCGGGTCTCAATAGCACATGTTCAACAATGCTAGGGGCTCAGGCATACTAACTTACTTCTAAAAACTTAAATGACTTTCAGTCAGAAGCTCAGAAGCTGATTTTACACTCTGCATATCAAAATTAAAACTACAGATGCTTCACTCCTATACTTATTTCTCATTCTTATCTTTAAAGAAACTAAAAAGAAAAAAAATAAAAGAAAATCCAAGCCCTAAAGTGCATTCTTGTATAGCTTCAATTCTGCAGCAAGCTAGTCTGAAAAAGCATTTTTGTTCTATTTTTCCATACAGCACATATAGCCTCAACAGTTAATTTTTGATCTGTCATTTCACTGTGTAAGCAGAAAGGAAATGCAATTCAGGAGTTCAGGTTCACATAAATCTATAATCACTGACTTATTTAAAATGAGCCAGGACATTTATTCACATGTTTCCATTCACAAGTTTCTAGTAGCTCCAGAGTAAAAAACAATAAAAATGTCACCTTTAGAACACGAGTCCTTAGACTCACTCCCTTTCATGTTCTACTGCATTTCACTCGCTGAAATGAGAAACAGCAGCCACACATAAAGACTTTAACAAACCTTTCCCCTTTCCACTAAGTAAATTTATCTCTGAGGACAAATTGTCACGTACTGCCAACAGGACAACAGAAATAAAATTTTCTGATTTAGAAGCCCTAATCTGGCTATAAAAATTCACTGCAGCAACATTCATGATAATTTCTTATACTAACCAACACTAATTACAGTTACCTCCTGCCTGTCTAACTGGGCAAAGGCACACAAGAAGAATCACACAGAAAGCCTTAATTATTATTGCCAAGGCTGCAAAACAAAGTTTAGGAAAATATGAAACAAAACAAAAGAATACATTTAGTTCCATGAATATCTTAACAGGTCCTGACACGAGTTTTACAGAATGCAAGAAATGCTGTCTAATTCCACAATCTAGCTGTAATCACTAAAGATTAAAATGTGCCAGCTTTCAGAATGGGGCACGCTGCAATCTAAAGATGACAGAAATAAATGTTTTAAGGGCTTAGTAAACTTATAAGTGAATCTCACCAAAGTATATAAAGTTCTAAACAAAAGATAAGCAACACAAACAAGGAAACATTTTCTGTGATTACACAGTTTGCTAACAAGATAAGTATGAGGTGATCACAGGTAGCTTAACAAAGCAAACCCTGGCAGCCCCGGGTCCACCAATGATTTGTGCCTAAAATAAACGATCACGCTAAAGCGAATATCCACTGCACCAAATGGCATTCATAAAATGTAATTGCATTTCTTGACTTTTCCTTTCTAAGACCATCCAGCACCACATGGACTGGGTGGCACTGCAGCCTAAGAGCCAGAAAGACAGTGACAGCTTTCTCAGAACTGGACACTCAGAGGTATTGCTATATAGGCACACTGATTTCCCCCTTCTCTTGAAAAGTCCATTCCAAAGGAGTGATGGCGTGTCCAACTAAACATCACTGTCCTTATAACCTATGTTTCCTGAATGAGGACTTTCCACACAGTTGGTCTTCTGAATTCAAGGAAACCTTCCAAAGTTAGGACTTCCTTTCAGGAATCAAACCTTGTTCCCATGTGTTACTGGGAGTCCAAACAATCTAATTAATTAAATTTCAAGAGAAGGATTTGTCATCTTTCCAAATTAGGTTAAAAACATTTGTAAAGAAAAGGAATCCTAAAGGATAGTGTATGAACCATATAAGTTAGGCAGCTATAGAAGGTAAAATGGTAGTTAACAATAATGAATTTAAAAGCAAATATTAATTTCTTTTCTGAAGTCTGTTAAGTTCCCGTCATGAGTCTGTCATGACAGACAGTCTACAAGTACAGAATAACTCAAAAAAAAATTTCTGCCTGGAAGAAACCGTTAAACACCAGAATTTGAGAGAGAACTACATGATGGGTTTGGTAAATGCATAAAGGGACTTTACAGGATATCTACCTGCTAACACACATATGATGTCACCTCCTACCACAAATATTCAGAATTACAAGTCATCAACAACGACTTCACAGAGACGGACGGAAGAGAAGGTATCAGTTGTATCACCCTAATCTGTACTATGATATATTGCCATTGTCTTATCAATTTTAGTCATCGATCTTTTAATCGCCACCAGAGTTCTACTCTTGCACAACTGTGAGGCCCAGCAAACTGTCCCAGTGGTCTGAACACAACTTTCAGCTGTTTTCTTTTTTGTAGTTTCTGTGACTCTTTAAGCAACTCCAACTATACAAAAACTTTACATAATTCCTTTAGCAAAATAAAATCTTTCCTAAAGGAGTATAATCAAGTAACAGAAATATTTTATATTTAGAGTAAGTTAACATCACACATCATTTAGAGAAATTTTATTTATTTGAATGAGATTATAAGAAATATGACACAACATTTAAATTGATACAAACATGCAATAAAAATGTTTGCACACACAACAGCTGATACCAGTTTGAAAAACAATTAATTACATGGTGTTGGATTTCTCATCTGCAAAATAACGACCATCAAAGTACTAGATGCCATTCTACTACAGACAAGAAATATAAAATTACCCATCTTCTTGGGGCTATGATACAAGAAATTTTGAGCATAATACAACGCTTTACAGCTACTTCTGAAAGACCTAAGGTCACAATTTGCTCTTAAGTTATCTAGTAAGGTAAAATTTTTAAAGAAAAATCCTGGAATGATTAAAACAGACGATGAATCTCACATTTTCAATGGATCTTAGGTGGTTTTACTCTTGAAATAAAGGACTACTTACTTGGTTGGCCATGTAAATTGTGAGGAGGCCTCTCCTATAAACAGAAAAAATAAAATTAGTGAAGGAATCAAACATTTTTTGCAGACTGAAGGAAAACACTTTAAGCATTAAGAATATTTTATTAAAGAAGAGAGTTTAAAAACACAGATTATTGATGGAGGATGAATCATTACACCCTATAAAAAAATATGTACAAAACCAAAAATAGCATCTAGATAGCACAGTATCCAAAGCAGTGAGGAATTACAGGAATCAAGTTATATATAGCAACTTGCTACTGCACATAAGTCCTGAAGCTGTCATGAGGGGTAAGGCACCCTGAATTACACAGCACTTATCATAAAATAAAAGCCTACACACCAGTTGTTAATGTAGGCATACAAACAATGACCTAAGCCTAAGTTAAATTGTGAATTTACAGAAAAATGCTTGTGTGTTAGCTTCTGTTTTGTGACCACTGCTATGTAACTTGAGACACCTTAGCCCTTCTGCTTACAACATTATGAAAAGTTTTCTACTGAGACTGATGATGCAGAAATCTTGGCTCAAGCCAGTTCAGAATCACAGTGCTAAGAGTGTCCGGGAATCATTTTCTCTTCTAACCTTTATCTAATTTTTTTTTCCCCTTCTATTTTTGGGTCTGTCCCTGTGTCTCAGCCCATAGCTCACACTGCACTTTAGGAAAAGTATAAACTTGGGCTCATGCTCTCACACTTTTGTTGATTCTATTGCAGCTCAAGACCAAAACTGAACTCAACTATGTGAGTTGCTCCAGTAACAGACTGCACTAGGTGTCATTATAGGATCCAGGTGAATTAAAAATTATTTTCTGTACATCGGTCACAAGCCACCATCAGCCTTGAGAAAGTGGGAAACATTACCACTGCAGATCTGCTTTGCCTTCAATCATTCCTCTTCTGCAAAGATCTGCTTAGAGACTATGGTCAAAGGTTGGAACGCTCAGTTTCAGTATTTCCTACTGGACTGGTGTTCTTAACATTTTGAGTCTCCCATCAGCCTTGTAGTATTCAGGATTTTTCATATTGTCCCTACTGGTCTTACACATATAACTTGAAAATTTGTGTGAAGGCACCATATACATTCAACTATTAGAGTTTCTCAACATGGAGTTGAGCTTATAACCTGAACCCATATTTCTCTTCATGCCATTCAGGATTTTTTTTATATTGCTACTACAGAAGGTAATATATAACAGAAGGTCTAACCTGGGCTTGTATGTTCCATTTTGTCATGACATTTTAAGTTTTCAAGCATTCATAAGACTGCTTAAGAGAGTAGTATGTTAACAGAGCACATCTTGCTATCAATTCAGTTGAAGACGGGAACAAAACAAAAGCACAGATAGCAGGAAATAGAGAAATTCCAATCACACAGTTGCCAAGCTTGATCCATCCGGAAAGAAATTTATTCAGTATTTTCTAAACCCCGTGTTTACAAGTCCATAACTTTGCCAAGTTATGCATCTAGATCAAGGTTTTTCAGAGCAGATATCTAAGCCATGGGGACATATTCCACTCAAAAGCTTTAGTGCTTCCACATCATGCTGAACTTGGGGAAAGCAATGATGCAGCATCCTGACTTCCACAAGTTGCTCTCTACTCACAGGGAAGGTTCAAATTTGGCTTAGGTTCAAAACTTTAACCAGTTTGTTTTGTGGGTTTTTTTAAAGCAGAATTACAAATCTGCTCTCCTTCTCCACCTACCATCACTCTGTATCAGATACTAGAAACAAAACTCTAGCATAGAAACCTAGAGAAAAAAAAGCCTGAATCTAAAGAGTTGATGAGGATGAGGCACACAAGAAACAAGAAGACAACAGAGAGGGAATAGGGTCTGTGAGCGTTTAAGCAAAGCAAGCCCTACAACTTGCAATAAAGCATCAAAATGCTGTAGGACATTTCTCACCAGGAAGGGGTAAAAATTCACCTCATGTAATAGATAAATTCAACTCTCACATTGATCTGCAAACAGTCACCATCTTTCAGCTGATTAGCTCGAGTGATAATACTGGTGGCCCTACCCTCTTGATTACCAAACTGGCAGTCAACACAGTTGTGTATACTGTAAATTTTATTTTAATTTGTTCTCAGGAAAAATATCAGGTATTTCACGTTTCTTGGATTCTTTTTTTTAATCCCTGTAATAGTGTTAAAAATTTACAATAAATACCCAAACACTCAGCTGTTTGGAAACACAGAAATAAATTACCCATGAGAGCTAACCTGGTAACTCAATACACTTTGAATATTCTGGAAAACATCAGAACTTCAATAATATCCTGCAGTAACATAACTGCGAGAAGCCTTCACTGGCTACTGAGTGACAGATGCAGCTTTCAGGTATACTGCATATTTCAGAGAGTACATTTCAGAGAATATATGTGTATTCACAACTGTATTATATATAATGTGCACAAAACAGGATGATCATTGTATGTCTACATAATTTTACTTAGTGGATTCTCTCATGCAGTCCTTATTGTCATACAAGCAGGGCTGACATGCAGGCAGGGTCTTTTAGCCTCCCATGAATATTTATTTAATTTTCTTATTTTTAAACACTAAAGCTAAGAATTTGTTCTAAATGAGTTTTAGTTTCTATTGTAGTCCCTTTGGCTTAAGTGTAAAACACCAACCACAAAGACAAAGAAAGGAAAAGGGGCTAAAGAAGAGGAAGGAAAGAAATCAGAAGCTGCAGTGCAGCTGCAGCAAGACCAATGTGAGAAGTAGGTGGTTGGGAGAAGGAAAAATGTGCAGACAATAAATTTGCGAAAGGAAGTAACTTCCGGAACCAAAAATACAGCAAAGTTTCTAGATGACGTCATCTCAAAGTGCCTCCAACAAGCCCGTCTCTGAGGCCCTGCTTGACTCCAAGCAGAAAGTTTTCTTCCTCCAAATTAATTCTGTGACTGTTTAAAAAATAAATAGCTCCATTTTTCCAGGGGAAGGGAAAAAAAAAAAGGCAGGGTGGAAGGGGGGGTAGTCTTCCTGGCCCTGTGCAAATGTGATCCAACAAGCCTAACCCAACCCTGAACTCCACTGTTAAAAAGCAGGTGGAAGTTCAGAAAACATTGCGCTATTCTGTGGCAATGACAGCTGACAGAAAACAGGACAGAAAGATGGAGGTAGGCCAAGCAAAAGGGTCATTAGTACAACCCAAGGACTGTATTAAAACTGCAGCTGGTAAACAAAGAGGAAAATATAATTGGGAAATGGCATTAGAAGAGCAGGAAATAGTTAAACAATAAAAACAATTAGTCAGCCATGTCTAACCACATGCTTTGGGAAGGTTTAAAGATACCAATAAACAGCTTACATTTCACCCTAAAAGTCCATGAACCAGTGTTGAACACTAATCTTGGGAACACCAACATCAGCATGTGGCTACACCACTGATGGTCAGGCGAGGTCACTACGGCAAAGCCCAAGCAGAGGCACACAAATCCTTACTGCCCATTCCTCCTCCATGGTTTCTGTCTTATGCCATTTTCCTCCAGAGGCCTCTTCCATAAAGATCTTCATCGTGGCTTCCCACTGTCTCCCAGTCACCTCTTAACTGACAGTATCTCCCATACTCAACTCTTTTCTAATGACATCTGTGATCTTTAACTAAAGAAGGAAAAACATGAGCTAGGGGTAACCCAAAATTCATGAGCAGCAGACCAAGGTCCATCCTGACAGTTTCTTGTGTTAAAGAACTTTTTTTCTGAAAAAGTCTTAACAAGACTGGTCTCCTTTACCTGGAAAGGAGGATTGCACGAAAGCAATCATGTTTTAATTACCCTTTAATTCAAGTATCAAAGAGCAGTAGTGTTTAATATACTTTTCACTTTGTTTCTCCTCCTTTTTCTTCCCAATTCACACTTTAACAAGAATTTTCTTTCATGTCTGTTAGAGAACTGAGCAGGCAATGTCTCAGAGTTTAGGTATTCAGCACAGGTCACATTATCTATGGCTGAATTATTCCAATCTTGCAGATTCCACTTCTAATGTTTAAATTACAACAGACCACAGGCTTCCAGAAGATAATTCATTTATGCCTTCCTCAAAGAAAAGTTTAACTTGATAAAAGTTGCTTTTCAGACAACTTGGTAATGTTCAGACCAAATTCTGACAAGCAATAGCTCTTAAACTATGGTATATAAACCTCAACAGAGAACCACACATTTTTTTATTGTGCTGCCCAGAGGAAAGAGTCTAAAATAACTGCTAAAAAACCCAAAAACCTACAGGATAAAAATAACAAGGAAAACTAGCAGTGTACTGGGCCACATTACGAGAAGTGTAGGTAAGAGGTCAAGAGAAATTATTAATCCCATTTACTTGGCACTCATTACAGCGCAGAGTCCCATGCCTGTTTGCAATCCCCAATACAAAACAGGCATTGGTCAGCTGGCAGGGAGGACCAGGAGCATGGTCGGAGAGATTTTGACCTGACTCAAGGAAACAGCATTTTCTCCATCAAGACAGGTGAGCATTGGAACAGGGACTCCGAGGGGTTGCTGGACCTCTGTCCTCAGCAGTTTGCAAGGCTGACCGGACAAATCCCTAAGCAAGATGGTTTGAACTCAGTGCCGGCTCTGCTCCAAGCAGGAGGAAGCTGCACTAGCTGACTTCCCAAGGTTTATCTGAACAATTCTATTATTCTACAGAAAAAAAGGTGGAATGCAACTTCGAAATACCATATATAATTTTTTTTCCACAGATTATAAAATCACAAGGGATTAAACTGATAAATAATCTGTCTTCCTAACTAATACAAAACATAAACTTTTCCTTAATGAATTAGTCACATATTTAAAAAAAAAAATTGTCTTTTAAGTATTTCCAGTCACCACAATCATTGATATATTATTCTAAGGGTACTTATCTTTACAATTTGCACTCTAGTTTCTACAAGAATCTGTCTGGTGTCTGAAAATGGTTACATCTTTACCTCCCCTGCAACACTACAGACTCCAACCAAATGACCCACACATCATTTCTTAAACAAAAACTGAACTCCTTCAGTCTT